GGGCGTCTCCCTTAGATCCTGGTCCCCTCCTAGACTCAAATATTATGTCCCTAAACTCCTGTTTCTCCCTTTGGCTCCAGGACCCCAAAATGTTCAGACCAGCCTTCCACTTTCTCTCTCCAGACCTAACATGCTTTCTCTCTACCTCTCACTCTAGCTTGGGTGCAGGTAGAAGTTAACCCTTCCTAGATCAGGCAGGGTGTGCCAATGGGTGGGGCTGGTGGAGGGGCAATAATAGGGTGGGGAGAGGGGAAAATGAGTCAGAGTGAAAGGGAAAATGCAAATGGGCAAGCTGTATTCATTTGCTGCTCTGAAGGTTAAATGTTTTCCACTTCTGAGCTTTCGAACTCCTCACACCACCACACCCAGAAGCTCCCTAGACACCCATATAAAAGACACTTGGCCTGGACACATAAAAGCACCAATGCCAGGTATTTACATATACACAGAAATCCTCGATCCCTGAAGATATAGAATAAGTGCAGAGAGCCATGAGGGAGAAACCCCAAGTGTATAAAGAGAGGTACAGAGGTCTGTCACCACCCAGTGGAGTATGGCCCCCTCCTCACCTCTCAGCCCTCTATCTTGTGTCTGTGACTCAATGCCCCCACTGGGGTGGTTTTCCCATTGATGATCAAGAGAGCTGGAGACAGCTTAAAAGGCAGCATCCTCTGTAAGCCAAATGTAGTGACAGGAGTGTCAGTGGGTGTTTAAGAAGTCTAAAAGGGAGCAGAAGAGGCAAAGGAACTCCCCATTCAGTGAACAAAAGCTCCCAAGAATGGGAAACCCTTATCTTGCCTCCCACTTGGGGTCTACTCCATCTAAGAGTATCCCTTTAGAGACTTCCTCCCTCCTTAGAGGTATCTCTAGGGCTGCCTACACCTCAGCCCTTAGGCTGGTGACACCATTCTAGGCCCTCTCTCTCTCTCTCTCTCTCTCTCTCTCTCTCTCTCTCTCTCTCTCTCTCTCTCATATCTGTCTCTTATACACATCTAGATGTGTATAAGAGACAGANCTCTCTCTCTCTCTCTCTCATATATATATATATATGACTTCTTATATATTTTTAGAAGGAGAGGAAGGGAGAAAGAAACAGTGATGTGATATCGAAACATTGATTGGCTGCCTCTTGCATGCCCCCTGCTGGGGATCAAGCCCACAACCTGGGCATGTGCCCTGACCTCAAATCACACCAGCAACCTTTTCAATGCACAGCATGATGCCCAACCAACTGAGCAACACCAGCCAGGGCTCTCTCTTTATATTTTTTACTGCATAGCCCAGGCTTTCTTGCATGGAGTAAGCAGTGACCACAGAAGCAATTCATGCTTTGACTTGGAAGGACAGGGCCACTGCCCTTTTAATTTTTGAAAGGTCTCCCCTCCTCAGTCTCAAAAACCTTGTTCACCTTCCACTTCCCAAGCTGACTCAGTAGGAATCACCTGCAATTTTCTCCCTGAGGACCACAGGTTATGGGGACACAAGCCTGGACTCTGGTAGAGGGTGGAGTAGGTAGGAGAGATTAGGTAGGACATAACTGGAAGAGAAGTATGTGGGGAAAGGAGGTATGATTTTTGCCTCTCAGTCCTTTATAATACTCATATTACTAAGTAAAGTTTGAAATCTGGTATTTTTTATTCTCACTGATGAGCTTGACCAAGAGCCCTTTCAGGCACAACCCAGCTTGATATAAATATAGGCTGTCTCGACAAAATGTATACACTACTAAAAGCCAATAGCTCAGTTGATGTTTCTTTCTTTTCAGATTTAACCCATTGGAATTAATAATTATTCAAAGTGTGTATACATTTTTTGGGACACCCTATATTATAATTCAAAAGTAATCAGAATAGACCAGATAGAGGGATGGTTATTTTATGAAAACATCCTCCCTTTACCTCTCTTATTTTAAATATTGAGTAACTCCAAAGCTAAGTTTTAACAAGATTCTGTTCAGAAAAATTCTATGAACTTTCAACTTTCCCCAGGAACACATCTCTACCCAAATTATGGTGGTTAACACCCCCCCCACACACACACATTTTTAAGGTGGTTAACACCCCCACACACACACTGCATTTTTTATAGATTAAGACCAATTATCCAATTCTCACATAAACTTTTAAATGTTCAAGCACTCTGGTTAAATACATCCAACATACCAGAGAAGAGACACCACAAAGTGAATTCATTTTTTTCTTCCCTTAAATCTATATTGTACATACCCAAGAGTCAGATACAGTCATAGCCACGTGAGCTAAATCTAGGTCACAGAGAACCTATCATAGCACACCTTTTGAGGATTACGTGGAAAAAGAACTAGACTAGAAGTAAACACACACACACACACACACACACAACTTAGGTTCCACTGCATCCTCACAGTGAAGGGCCTTTTTCTTCAGCCCTAACATGGGGCTAATTCTTCTAAGACTCTCAACTTCCTCACAGGGACTGTTTTCAAGACTAGTACTGAATACCAGTATTGCCTTAAACTCAGGGAGAGAGCCCCACTCTGACATCTTCTGGCTGTGTCCTTCCCATGGCCTTAGGGGTCCAAGAGCATCTAGGAAGTACCCACCTGGAACCTGTGCCCACCCCCCAATTCTAGACCATGCTCTGGGAACTCAGAACCCTT